AATGATAAAATAATAAGAAACAATATACATCTTACTTAGCTACCGTATATAAAAACCAGTGTATGTGAATCTTAATGCCTGTTCTTCTATATAATTCCACTAATAAATATATATATATATATATAAATTCCATTTCCTAACTAAATCCGTAAATAGTTTTCATATGTACTTATTTTATAGCCATTTAAAATTTATCTCTGTTTATATATACCATTTACAGTCAATACATACAGAATCTCTGTGCACATGTAAATAAATGTTTATATACTGTATGGCTCTTCTGGTTAGATGCAAACTACATTTCATTGCTTTGTACTTGTGTCAGTGTAATGATAATAAAGTTAAACTCTATTCTATTTTATTCCATATTCTGTTCTCTTTTCTGGGTTTTACGTTTTTTCTGTAAGTGGTCCTCCTAATTGTCAGTCATTTTGGTGATATGTTTATGTAAGGCCTTCCTACGTGCTCGTCCCGTTAGCTATCTTTCAGCCGCATATGTATGGTGTGTTAGGGTTTCAGACAGTCGTTGAAGCTCACCCCTCTCGCCGCTGCTCTTTGAAAATGGCCGATGGTTGTAAATCTATGAGTGTAAAAGTGTCTACGAAGTGTATAAGAAGAAAAAAGGAGAGGAGGCAGATCTATCCCAGAATGCTTTGCACGGAGAATTTTCCTCGCAAAGCACTATGGGATTTGCTGTCACAGCGGCCCACTGTCACAACCACACAATGGCGACTAATATCAAAGATGGTGCAGACACCGTGCAGTGGATGAGGAGTTAGGTGACCAATGGGGAGCAAAAAGCAATGATCATCTGTCCGAACGGTCAGTTGACTGATTTTGATATAAAGTTCACCATATAGCCCCCGCTGTGTGTGGACACAGTAAGCTTGTATGATCTATGCATATTTTAAACAGGGCGTGCACGAGGAGAAAGGGGCTCGTGCATGCTCTTGCACGCGCATTTTTTTTAACGTGGAGATGGCAGGTCTTTTAATTAATCCTCCACAATACCTTTAATAGGGAATTAGCTCCAAGATACTGGTGGTGAATGTAGAGGAAGCAGCATATATTTCAGTCATACTCTTCTCTACCTGTCCTTCAGCAGAGCTCTGCTGGGATGGTGTGTCAGCCTGTTTGCTGATCATTGGCGCTCCGCTCCACGACGAACCTACAATCCACCAACGGCCCACCTGCTCTGCATTCAGGATGTTTTCCAGAGACACCCTCAGCTTCAGATCACTGCCTCCAGCACTGCTGTGGATCTGGGAATCGAAAATTCACCAATAAGTAGTAATATTTGATTAATGTAAAAAGGCTAAACAAAAAAAAAAATCAGCTTTGTGATGCTGAAAGTGACCTATGTGGGAAAAGGGACTCTGGTGCCACCTCTTGGTGAAATAAAATATCACAATCAGCGGCTTGAAAAAGAAAGGTCCCTTCCCAGCAGAAAACAACTATGTAATTAGATTTAAACATTTAAGCAAGGTGAGGAACAAAGCTATTCCTTTTGTCTGTTAATCCATCTCAAACAAACAATACTAAACAGTTTTTAGATTAAAAAATGACACTGAATCACAAAAACAACAGTGGGATGCCTCACTAATAGTCTGCAGTTGTATGTGTGTGTTTATGGTGAAGGATTAGTCAACCTGGTCTCATCATCACTCACCAGAGTTCTCTGCAGCTTCCTCAGTCTCTCTACAGGCTCAGGATCATAGCCCGGTATCTTCCTCATATCATTGTTCTTCAAAGCCAGCATAGTTTCCAGCATGAATCGCACCTGGAGGTAAGTTTACGCATCTTTTAGCAGCCTTAATGGGTTACAATTTATAAGGATATAATCAACCTTAACATGTACTGATTTTACGAAAATGAGCTAAAGGTGAAGGTTAAAAACATTTTTTTTGGGTGACCTACCCTGGTTTGATCCTTGAACTTTGCTCCCATCTCATTAGCCTTTCGCTGAGCTTCGGAGATGAGTTCTTTGAGAGCGAGAGCATCGTCTTTCCTCAGGGCAAAGCCGACGTTCTTCAGCACAAACAGGACTAACTCGATGTCCTTCTCTGTGAACGCTCCCACCAGTAGCTTCAGAAGGTCAAATATGAGGACAGAATGCACCACCTGGAAGTTATAGAGGTGGGCGACGATGGCGACGAGGTTGTCACACTCTTTGTCCTCGCTGGAGCTCTTGTAGACCTCGTCAAACCTATGCACAACTGTCTCAAGGAAATGGGCTCCTACCTGGAATCGGACACAATGTGGTCAGCTTCAAATGACATGGAGCAGATGCAAAACCTGCACATTTATGGAGGAGCTCAGTAAAATATGCCTGATAGTTACAATTAAGTCTCTTTTTAAAGTTTATATTTTAAAAATGGAACCAATAAAACCCATAAGTAAGTAAGGAAGTAAGGAAAGAAGGAAGGAAGAAAACATATTTATGTCTAATTTTATTTCAGAATATCAGAAAAAAGCAGGAGAAAAAATAAAATAAAATAAAATATTTATCATAGCGACAACAGGATTGGAAATTTAAAAAAAATAATTTTAAAGTCCACAGCTCCCCAGAATCAGAAAAATAAAAATAATTAACCTTTAATTAATAAAGATTATGCCAGTGATTAAAGAACAAATTCAAAAATAAAATAAACACATATGAATACAGTAATAGCTAACTACAAGAAGTAGTTAATTGCTTTCCAATTATTTTTGAAGAGCTTTAGCTAAAAAAAAAAATGTGAAGAAATTTACTGCAAAACAAATCAAGTTCAAATGAAGAAAACCGACAAAGAAGAATAATACGACTATTCATGCACAAAAGCAGGGGTCTGCAACCTTTGGCCCTTTACAAACTTGCACTTCATCAGCAAAATAATCTTTGAAAAAAACAATACAGTAACAAAGGCTGGTTAGCATTCTCTCCATTCATTCATTTGGTTTAATTTCTATAATAAACTGACTCTATGTAAAACAGATTTATTTATTTTTTTCATCTTTTTTAAGTGGAAAAAAACTGTTTTTTATGAGGCATAGCAGAGGTTTCAATTGGCACTGCCACCTGTGGCCAAAACACAGAACTGCAGGACTCATCTGCAAACAAGTTGTTTTTCTTTTTTACTATTTCACCTTACACAAATTTTCCCAAAATGTCAGCAACCCATAAAAAATTTATCTATTCTCTTTTTGTAACTTTTTTCCTTCATTTTAACAAATGTTTGGTAGATTTTTATAAAATTTAAGTTATCTTTTTCTCCCTTTAAAAAACATCACCCAATGTCTTCAGCTCTATTAGCTGGACTGAATGTAAATACAGCTCTATGGATTGCAAAGGTTGCAGACCGATGCGCTGAAGGGATAAATATAATGTAATCTGCTGTCAGTGTTCCTCCATCTCCTTTCAGAGGCTAAAAAGACACTCACCTCCAGTCCCACAGCATGATGAAGGATGCTGACCAGCAGCACATGCTCCATCAGCAGCCTGTCGGGCATCAGGGTCGGCGTGACGCAGGCTGCGAGCAGCACGTCAGTCAGGGTGTCGTTCATGTCCTTCCTGCTGCAGCTCATGTACAGCTCCTCCAGCTGACTGCTGATATAGGCCATGTTGGGCTCGCTCAGCCTGAAATTGATGAGAAAAAAAAAGTCAATTTCTGAGCACTAATATCAGATGGTGTCATCATTATTATAGGATGAGCTTTGATATCTTCTATTTTGGGTCAAATGTTTCTAATGGTTTACCTAATGCATAGTTTCCTCGCATAGAGAGGTACCCGGTTCGATACCCATAGACTGCCACTATGGGTCTCTGAGCAAGACCCTTAACCCCACACTGCCTCCCAGGTACCACACAATGGCAGCCCACTGCTGCCCAAGGGGATGACTTTAATGCATAAAGTAAATTTCCCCATTGTGGGACAATAAAGGGATTTACATTTATATTTTCTTCATTCAAAACAATACAGTTTTTGTCCACTGGGGGGAGCCAACATCCACAAAAACTAAAGTTATTTAGTACTACAGCATTAAAGGGAATAAATTGAACTTTACATCCATGCCAATATTTACAGTATATAAACTTCTGCCAGAAAATTTATATATATATATATATATATTCTTAACATTTCAGATAAACTTTCAAGTATCCTAACAAAAAAAAAATATGAGAAAAAATTGTTCTGTCTTATTTTAAGAAAAATAGATTTTAAAATTGACATCTAAGTGGTTCAGTAAATAAAAATAATGAATATTTGATATGGGGGGTGAAGAATAACATTTTTCTTAATATTCATTAATTTTTAAAAGATGTTGTTATCCAAGGGACCCAAGATGGACAAGATGTTTACACATTGAGACAAAACAATCAATTATTCAGAAAAGTTAATGAAAACTTTTCATCCAGTTTCTGTTTTAACAAAATGAGGAAAAAAAACTATTCCTTTTCACAAGGATTTAAGAAAATAATTGTGGGAAGTATCCAGCAAATGATGGTGTGTTCACAATAAAACATTTATAGAAAAAAAATATGTGGATGGCATGACATTCTTTAAATTAAGTTTTTATGCTGAAATGGAGCAAATTCTTTGCATCCATGCCCTCCCATCAAAAAAGATTAATTAGTACAGCTGTTGCTGCAGATTTATAGAGAATCCCACACTGATGATGTCTGGAGTTAAGGGCATTTGTATAAAATAATGAAAAAGATACACTGTATCAGACGAATGTATATGTGTGTTGTATAAAAATTGGTGATTCAAAGCTACTTCTGCAGCTTTTTACTATCTGAATTGTGTTGCTGCAGGAATGTTACCTGTTTAACAGGCCTTTGACTTTCCTCTTCAGCTTCTCCAGCTCAGCTTTGCGTTTATCATCTCCAGTGTTTCGCAGCTGAGGTGGGACATACTTGTTCTCCCTTGAGGTGCCCTTTGAGAAATTATTGAATGGAGATCAAGACAGGATAATTATTGCTTTTTTTGGGAAAAAATTTGAGCAGCAAAGTTAATGATCTGAACTCACAGCTTGTGATGTTGTGTCAGGATTGGGGTTTGCCTCCTCGGTTTCACTATCAGCTCCGGAATCAGCCCCAGCATCAGTTTTGTTCATTTCATCATCATCATCATCATCATCATCATCATCATCATCGTCATCATCATCGTCATCAACATCTTCTTCACTCCCCATCTCCTCATCTTCAGCACCCTCACTTCCTTCACTCTCCATCTCATCCTCAGCTTCCACCTCTTCTTCTGACACATATTCCTCACCCAGCTTTTCAAAGTTGTCCTTAGCAGCCTCCATGTCCTCATCAGCATCACAGTCTTCATCATACATCCCTGCTCCTGATGAGCTGGAGTCCAGCACTCCAAGGATGTAATCTAGTCCATCGCTCACGAATGACTGAGGGAGACTTTTCTTGTTTTTCCTTTTGTTTAATCCAAGGTATCGCTCCAGCTTTTTTATCTCCCTGTCCTCTTGCTCATTTGCCTCCAGCAGAGCCATTTTTCTAGTTTCTTTAAGCTTGTTGGTTTTCTTGGAGGACTTGGACCCAGAAGAGGCGGATTTCTCTGCAGGAAGCCCCATGTTTTTGTTTGCAGGTGTTTTTGTGACGTCCCTTTTGGGTTTATCAGCTTTCTTCTTCTGACCCTGGGAATCATTACCAGATCCGACCGCGGCTTTTCCTACATGATCTGAGGCAAAACTGTCGAATTTTTTCCCTTCATAGTGACTTTTCATCTTGGCTTTTTTCAGCCTTCTCTTTTCTTTGCGTAGCTCCTTTCTGCTTTTGGTTTTCACGGATCGCAGCCCCTGTCCTCCGTCTGCTCCATCCTGATCACTTTTACCTTTTACAAACTCGTCGACCGCATTCATGTATTTCTGTAAAACCTCGTTCCCTTTTTTCTTCTTGCTGTTTTGCTTCCATTTCCCACCTTTCATTTCCACAAACACCCTGCGGAAATTAGCTTAAAAAATGTTTGAAACCGGCGACACTAAATGTAAAACTGCAGTCTACGGCAGTAACTCTAACGATGCCTATTTCGATCAAATAAATACCTCACATTGCACATGGATATCCATGAGGAAAGGTTTCGTTGGTTTACTATTTACTTCCGGGTTACGCCACTTACGTCGTCGATGTGAAATTTACGTTAAAGGGATGCGAGAAAGAGTCCGCCATATTGGGAGAGGAGACGCGGAACATTTGGACCACTGAAGTGAACCGAATAAAAGGGGATATTTAATCTAGTTGGGGTTTAAGATGGAGATAGGGAGGAAAATTTGGTTATTAATAAAGCATTGTTTTTATTTTTACATAACACACACAAAAAAATAAAAAAAATAAAAAATAGAATATAGTAGGTGGAACTATAGAGCTACAAACTTATGTACAGTAGGTGGCGGTATGCATCTATAAGCTGTTTGCTATCCGCCAATCTAATAAAGAAGAAGAAGTTGGTGTTTAAAGGGATAGTTCGGTATTTTTGACATGAATCTGTATGGCATCCCCATCACCAGTGTCATGCAATCACACTGACTTACCCCTGGAAGCGTCCTGTGAGCAGAGTTATCGTCCAGTTTTGGTCAAGCCGAAAGTAGTCCGGCAGGTTTTTAGGAACAGCGAAATAAAACTTTTCTCTTCCCAAAACATTATGTGTTCAAAAGAGTGATATTTTTGCATGCCAAAAACATTGTAGTGGAAAAAGTCACACGTCGTTATCAATTGGTCCTATTTTCTCTCTGTTCGTTTTTTTCTTTAACAATTTAAACCTTTAAAATCCGAATATTATGACTATTTTTCTCTACGTTAAATATGGCAGTCTTTAAAAAAAAAAAAAATTTTCTTTGTTATTTTGAGCACTTTTTAATAAAGTTTTTATTGATTCTTTAATGTTTGATTTTCAATTTCCTATCTTAAACAATTTGAAATAGGAAAAAACAGCAGTACAAATACTAAAATGGAAATGCCCAATACGTTTTAAGGGATGCTTGTGCATCATAATTATTTAGCTCAGAGATTAGTTTCTAATGAATTATTATGATCAGTGTAATAGTGCAAAGCCCTGTTGTAAGGCCACCCAGACATGTAAACTTGATCTATATTTATCCTATCAAGACAAAACTGTTTAATAACACTAAATGCATACAAAAATAAACTGTAAATAAATTTGATTCTATTTGGAAAACCAAAAACATTTATTCATTTTAATGGTCTACGGAAAATTGTAATGTGGAACCAACTGCTTTCAACCACCAGCATCTACATCAACAACTCGCTAACGAAACCCCCTTTGAGGAACAATTACATTTTGGATTTTTTTAAAAGTATCTTCTGAATTTCAAAAGCCTTCACCTCAGTTCAATACTAAACTGAAAATCTGAATTCAAACTTTAAACGGATTAACTAATCTAAAAGCAATGAAGACTCATAGTAATTTAAATGCATTTCAATATTTTGCTTGAAATATCAGAGATGTACTACTATAAATCTAATAATTTCCTCTTCATAGTATCCATGTGCATCAACATTTTTTGAATAGTCAAAAATCTTCAGCTTATGTAATTATGCTACGAACTAGATAAAATTTAAAGTTGATGTTGATAAAGAAAGAAAGACTAAATAGAAAGGAGGAGAGAGTGATAACAAGGTTAAGATTTGGGCATACTGGACTTAATTATACATAAATTCAAAAGCATACTACTGGAAATGTGATGACTGTGGAAAATATTAAACAATGGAACATGTTATACTGGAATATCATAAATATGAAAGCGAGAGAAGATATATGAGGAAATAGTTTGAATGTATTAAGGAAAATATTAATTTATTAGATAGTTTGAGGAAGAATTTGGGCAGTAAACATATACAAATAATTATTTTTATTTATTTATTATATATTTATTTTATTTAATTTTTAAAGAAAACTAAATTATTTCAAGGGTTAGGGTTAAAGGTTAGGGTTAGGGTCAAGGCAGACAGGTCAGACGAAGAGCGGTTCAAAAACCCTTATGATGAGCACAACAACGAGGCAAGTGACATCGCCCGGTACGGCGGAGCCGGGACCCCACCCTGGAGCCAGGCCTGGGGTTGGGGTTCGTTGGCGAGCGCCTGGTGGTCGGGTTCTTCCTCGCGGGACCCGGCCGGGCCCAGCCCGAAGGAGCGATGCGAGGCCATCCCCCAGTGGGCCCACCACCTGCAGGGGGAACCATGAGGGACCGGTGCAAAGTGGATTGGGCGGCAGCCAGAGGCAGAGACCTCGGCGACCTGATCCGCGGGCGCTTAAACTGGCTCTGGGGACGTGGAATGTCACCTCACTGGCGGGGAAGGAGCCTGAACTTGTGCGGGAGGTGGAGCGATACCAGCTAGAAATAGTTTGGCTCACCTCTACGCACAGCCAGGGCTCTGGAACCGAGCTCCTTGAGAGAGGCTGGACTCTCTTCTACTCTGGAGTGACCCGCGGGGAGAGGCGGAGGGCGGGGCTGCTTGTCTCCCCCCAGCTCAGCCGTCTCGTGTTGGAGTTCACCCCTGTAGACGAGAGGGTCACATCCCTT